TTTTGTTTTTTTTTTTTAAAGTCGAATTATTGTATTTGAGTATTGCGCATGTTTGGTATACCAATCTTTCTGTACTTGCCACGCTTTGGGTAGCTGAATTTCGTGGCCGGGGGCCCGTTTGTTTGGGCGGTTTTCGGGGCCACGCCGAGATGGGAAGGAGATGGGAAACATGGATTCGAACCCAATCCATTCGCATTTGTCTGTTTTTTTTCAAACAGCGAGCAACGAGGTCATGAAGGTCCTTGACTTGTGAATCCGATTCTGAAAATTCAGCTTGAGGATTTTGTTGGTTGAAATGCGGATTTGCTCACTTCCTGAGTTCATGGACTTTAGTCACTTGTTGGGTTTGGAACATTTTAGTGGCAACTAAGAAGTTTGGGTACTTTTCTTGGCCAGTCCACTCGATTGGAAGTGAGTCTACTCAAGAGAAGGTGTCTTCAATGGGACGAGGCTGCGCTCTGAGACGTTCAACCCAGGTAGAACCCATGGCGGGGCCTTTGGTGGGTTAGCTGCCCTCTGAACATTATCACATCAGTAACTCATGGCTAGGAGAACCTATTTACTAAGTTGGGGCCCCGCCCCGGGTATGCCCAGGGTGCCAACTTCACTGTCGTTGGCGTTTTTTGTTTGGGGTTCTTCCTTTCGGTTTTGAGTTTGTTTGGTTCTGTTCATGTTTTTAGTCGTGGGCTGCCAAAAAAGCAAACATTGCGACCAAGGGTTGGAAAGACGTACTACAGTCAATGGATGGACCATTCAAGCGAGTTTCCCGGCGCAGGCCAAATGACAATGGCATGAAATGCTTCTGGGCGGAGGCCGCGCGGATGGCGAAAGGGGCGGGGAGCAGGTGAAACTCGGAAGGTACATGAAAGAGGATTTGGGTATGTCTTTTGTTCCATTGATTCGTGGTTTTAAAGGAACATCCACAATTTGTGGGGGTCCCCAAAAACGACACACCCACCGACTGATATTTACAGGGCAGTTGCGGATTTCAGGCCCAAGGTTGCTTTCTGAGGTGCCCAAGCCTCATTTCAGGCAAGTGAAGCATCATGGCAGGCCACTTCGGGATTGCCTTTGTCAGAGACCTCTTGCAATACTTGGGGGCGGGAGGTCCCCTTCTTTTGGTATGCCTTTCGGTGCAGAGCCTTGGGGCATAAAATCCCCCGCCGGATCGGATGGACTATGAGAGGTACACTAGGTCAATGGGCATCGGACGGGTTGCCGAGAGCCTGGTGAACCCGGCTAGGTCCTTTAGCTGTTGGGTCCCTTATGGGTGTGGGTCAAAATGAAACCATGAGGGGACCGCAGGTTTTGATCCATGTTGTCACTTACCAGGGTTCCATTTTGGGTACTACTTTTGACCCACAGCCTTATGGCCAGAAACTACATCCTATGTGGGTTGAACATCCAAGTAGCAGGGGACCTGATGCGATGACAGCTTTCGGATTTCAAGCTCCGCGCGCGCCAACAAAAAAAATCAGGAGAAGGCTGAGAGCAGCAGCGACGAGTCATCCGGCGACGAGACAGGCCTGGTGTTGCGGATTTGGCCGGCCCAAGGGCTGTGACAATTGCTCGGCTGTTCCGTGACTGTGGTTGGGCAGTAATGTTGAACCCATATGAATCAATCCCTGTTTATTAATAGGTGGGAGTCCCTGGGTTTAGTGGGGAACTATCACTTTCGGGGGGAACGCCACGCTGTTAATAAACAGCAGTTGATAAATATGGGGTCAACCTCAACCGTGCTGCTTGGGATTGGCTTGGGAGATGGCATTCTAATGAGAAGTAACCCATTATCATGGTTTTTCAGGAGTTCACTGGGGGTCTGCCGGGGGTCTACTGGAGGTTACTGACTTGACGGTTCCCAGCCTTCCCCTTAGGTTTTTGGGTTTTCGGGGTTTGGCTCAGGTTTCCATGTAGCCACTAAAAGTTAGACAGCACAGCTGACCAGCAAGCTACGGTGGATGAAAACAAGGGAAACCCAACGTAAGTTCAACCATGGTTTGTGGTTGGTTTACTTGCGCCGTAACTCCTTGCCTTTTGCGGCCTGTGGCGCCGTTCGTGGAAAAATGGCTCCGCCAATTCGTCCGAGAGGATGAGGCAACTCCTCGTTCCTCCGAGCCGCAGGCGGCTCGTTCAGAGGGGTGTTGGGTCTGGCGGGTCTCGAGTGAGAAGTCCTTGACCCCATGCAGTGTAACAAATTGATTGCCAGTGGGTAACGGATCTTGAGACTAACTTTTTGGTTGAAAACACGGGGGGTTTCCGTGTTGAAGCCACAACAAGTGATTCACAGTTTTTGCAGAGGGGTTTTGCCCAGCAACCAAGTCAACCTGACTTTCGGAGCCCCTTTTTGAATTTTTGGTCTCACTCTCCGAGTTCCCGGAAAAAACTGCCACGGTTTGGGTTTGGACCAGTTGGGCGTGTTTTGGCCAACCCACTTGGTAGTCTAGTTATATAGATGAAAGCCAAAAGGGAACCTGGGGACGTTTATGAGAAACACCCACCTCAGTGAAACCTTCACATTGCCTCACGCTTGATTCAACCACAAAAACGAGTTCCCTCTTGTTTAATCGGCATCTGTTTTTTAATTTCAGCGTGACTGGGCAGGGTTGATGTGCCCTTCCAAAAGCCCGAGACGTTAGAATAGGGGCATTTTTTTGGGGTTGGTAGCTACGCACCCCTTGAAAGAGATATGAACGAGAATTCAGTATCAAGGGCACCATGACCATGGCCCAGATACGCCGTTTTGTTTGGCAATGGCACACATGTCTTTCCATGTTCATGCCTTAGCTGCCGCCTGTTTCTTCGCAAAGGGTACCCTCAGATAGATGAAGCGGAGAAGTAAACGAGCCCTGCAAAAGGGTGCCGGGCTATTAGACATGCGCAAGCCAAACCTCAACCCCAGCAACAATCGCCTCGTGGTTTCCGGCAGCATGCCTCAACTCCAGTTTATTTATTGGGGGGGGTGTCCATTTCTGGGTTTAGTGGTTGAAATCAGACTGCTTCTGGAGGGGCCAAGACCACCCCCCTTGTGAAGCTAAACTGAACATCAATATGGGGTCAATATTGGAGTTCAGCTCAGCTGACTTGTCAAGTTCAAGTCCAACTTTTTGGAAAATACATCTCATCCAGAATTTGCAGGTCTCAAACATTCAGACACGCTCTTGTCCCTTTCATTTGCTGAAAGGAATATGTTTAGTTTCCCCCGGTTTGTCAATATTGGGACTCATTCACTGCTGGACATACTTCTTTTTTTTTCCAGCGGACTCAAGCAAATGGTCGGTCCCTTTCCTGAAAGAAGTCGGCTCCCTGCCTCTGTGACCTTTGCCCGGGGAACACATGCTCCGTCTCCACTTGACCCAAAACACAAACACCAGCTGTTTCAAGGGGGCGGTTCCGAAACCCCGTCTCTGCTTGCCATTTGCTTAGGAAGCTATTGCATGTTCCGCGGAACCTGTCACTGGACATGTGTTTCTGATTCTTTTTAGGGCACTCCAGCAATTCTGGAAGCTGTGTTTTCTAGCTTGGATGCTGAAACCACTTAGGAAGTATACAGCCAAGGTACGGGGCGCTTATAAATATGCCGTTGACCATCCCAACGTCAAACTTGGCGCCTCTCAGGCCCAAGGGACGCCGCGCGTGGCGCGATTTGAGCGACCGCGAATTCGGCTCGCCGGGCGCGCCAATTCGGGGCGCCTCGTTCCGAATTCGCGGCGCCCGGCTGAGCTGGTCGCCGGTCACCCCCTGAAAGGTGCCGTTTGTTTTTGGGCAGTGTTTCGAAGTCGCCCTTTTACCAACTGTTTTGAGGGAGGGTTCCCCTACTAGACTACAGCAAAAAGGGTACCTTTAGTCTAACCTCTCTACTGGAGAACCTAAGTTTTGTCTTTGAAGTTAAGGCCTAATGTGGGTTCCTTGGTGTTAATTGGCTCTGTGTTCTTGCGCTTGTGGCAAGCACGTCTCACCGAAATGGGCGGGGCCGGCGGCCGGCGGCTGGGGGCGACGAGGCCTCACGGGCGATCCGCGGTCAATGCCGTTCAAGCGGTTGCCTGCGGGGGGCGAGGGCCAAACAAAAAGGCACTTAGCCGCAAGCGCATCTTGCTGCTCTGGTCGCTCGATGGGACAAAATCCATTTCGCACCACCTGAGAAACCAAGGGGAAGCCCTTACCTCTTAAAACATAACTGTTCACCTTTTTGGGGGTAACATGGGCTTATGTCTGTAAAAGATTAACTTCCCCAATCCTTGGAGTTTTAAGGGGTAAGAGCCATTGTTTGTTGGTATTGACAGGGCACTCATTCCAGGGTTTTGTAGGTGCAGAATTTCGTCCATCCACACGTCTTCCTTTGAAAGGCAAGTGACTGCGTTGCTTCAATCTCTGATTTCTACTGCCCACAACCTCCAATTCGACTGATGTGGACCCTCAAACCACCTGGTTTTGAGACCCCCAGTATGAGACGACCCCACTTTAATCATGAAATGAGCTAGGTCAGGTCCCGGATGTCAACAAAAAATGAATTTCCACCCAGGAAAAGCAAGTCGAGTCATAGATGTCCGGAGTTCACTTACAGTTTTTGTCGAGGCTTTTCTTTTGTTCGGAGGGGGGTTCCCTTTAAAACCAACTACCCAAAAACGATCGCTTTCTTGTTTTTTGTTCTTTTCTTTTTTTTGTGGGTGGGGGGGGGGGTGAAGTCAACGACCAAATAAGAAATGCCACCCTTTTCTTGCTGGTGCTCAGTAGGGAATGCGGGAATGACCCCAGAGATTCCCTTAAAAGAAACTAGCAGTTGGATGGTTTATAAGGGGCATTCCATCTCTCATTCCCCGCCTATCTCACCAGCAAGTTGACCCTTTTTTGCTAGCTCCAAAGGAAGCCGCCATCCTGCAGGTCTCACTTTGCAAAGGGATCCCCATGGCTTCCACCCCAAAAAAACCGTGGTGCCGAGCGCACAGCAGCTTTTCTCCTCATGGTTTTTTTTCCGGTGAAAAGGCTCGAAGCTTTGCCCCGAGGTTCGAGGCCTTCGCTTCGGCGCTGCGCGCGGTCGCCCGGAACCCCGGAGCTTCGGGACCAACTGACCCAAGGGAAAAACCCCGCGGAGTGGCGACGGACGGCGTCTCGGGGGGGTTCCTGAAACGGAAGTTGGAAGTGGTTGGGCGCGTCTTTTTCGAAGGATTTTTTTTTGTGGGGTACCTTTGAAGGGGAGAATGGAAATCCACATGTTTCTGTTGGGGGGGGAGCTTCCCCATGTGGAGACAAACTCATTTGAGGCTCGGTGAACATGTCCTGTGTCCCCAAGCCAAAGAAAAAAACATGGGAACATGAAGGCTCGCCACATTTTGCTGGTTGTGGTCGTGGTCGGTTTGGGAGGGACGGTTTGGTCGCACTCACTAAAGTTCACTCGCAGAAAAATTGGGGACGAGCCATGACTAGGCCTATGTCTTCATGTTCGCCTCTTGCAGAAAGAAACAAACATGAGCGTGCCTCAGTTGATGGATGGCCTAGAGAAACTGCAATGAAACTAACACTGGAAAGTTCTGCTCGGGATTCCAGCTGAATTTCTCGGGCGGCCATACCTTTGCTTTTTGGACAATCTTTGATTGAGCGTCCCTTGATTGGTTCTTAAACAAGGAAACCTGCGTTGCTGGAAGTGGAATGGACCCCAAACAGCGCCCTTCGCCCAACAGTGGGTTGACACATGGTCAACATGGGTGGGTTCCCTTGCGTTCATTGCCAGGCTTGAAAACTCCCTTTGCAGTGCGGGGGCTTTTTGTGACTCTTTTTTGGTTGGCTGGGGCTGCGATTAGTTATGACCTCCAAGGTTTCTTTTCTTTCTTGAGTTTTGCCTTGGCAACCAAGTGCAAAACGACAGTGATCCAAGCGGTGCACGCGTTTACATCAACTTTGCCTTGCCCGATCTCTCGGGCGGCACTGAATCAAGGATCTGACTAGTGACTCCTGAGTCAGCGTTGATAAAACTGAGTTGCAAGCTGCTTTGAAAATCCCAAGTTTCCCCGGTTTGGCGGCCCAAGCTAAAGTTCAATCTGGGTGTGAATGTAAATATTTAGCCCTTTTTGGTGGACATCAAATGAAAATCTGCCGGGATTCTCTCCAAGAACCTATGGGTTCCAACTCTAAAGCTTTCCATTTGCGAAAGTAGATTGTTCAATTTCTCCTGTTGGATTTAAAGGGAAGCTATCACTATTGGTTTTACGCTATCCCTATTGGTTTTACCTTATTCTGCCATGAGGCGACAAGCAACTGGAGGAAGCTCATAACCATGCCTTTTTCTTCGGGCCTTTTTTTCCTGGGTGGCATCCCTTTTTCATCGGCCAACTCGAAGCATGTGCCTTCTTCCATGACAAGCTTTCGGTGGCTGGGTCCGCGGGTAATTAAGGGCTACTTGGATCTTCAACCCACTTGGTTAGATGGTTATAAGTCATGGTGTTAAGGGCACAACCCTTAGTCTTTTCCAAGTTGAAAAAAACAGTAGCCTACTTACCCATCGGATCGCACATCCCAGAATGACGCTATGAGAGAATAAGTTTACTTAGTCAGGTAGCTCCGACAGATTGTCAGCCCAATGTAAGTTCCTAGGTTCCGAGGGTTGTTGTATTACACCCTGGTGGCTTTATCCGGAAATGTGCCTGAATGGGGTCAATACCCAGGTGTATTCCCAGGGCGTAATACCACAAACAAAAAACCTTAGATTGGTGCAGTAACTCAGCCAGGCAGTGCCTGATGCTTCTCCCATGCAACCGGCAGTCCGGCCGGTCGCAGGCGCGCGAGCTGATGTGCACGGGATCCCGACACAACCAGGAGGCCTACGAGGTGTCTGAGTGGCGGGGGAGGGGGGCGGCTGACTTTTCTGGGCAATGTATCTGCATGCCTATTTTATGGCGAGCTCAAATTGGGGGTGGGGGCGCCCTTCAGTTTTTGTGGGAAGGAACCCCCCGTTTAGGTGACTGCTATTGGATTGGATCTTTAGACTCTAACTTTTTGGTTGAACCCAAGCTGCGTTTTCCACTAAACCCCCAACAAGTTGTCGACTTTTTGCAGGGGGGTCGTTGCAACCAAGCAACCGTCACTTGGGTTTGGTTGCCATTTTGCTGGGACGCCCTTTTTGATCCCATCGATCCGAGCTACGGAGGCGCTAGCGGCCCAGAGGGCCCAGGCGGCGCCGGGGACCCCGGCTCCCGCCTCATGGCGCCGAAATGCAGCCATGGGATTGAGACCAGGAGGTTTATTCTTCCCCCGAATTAGTTCCCCTTTTTACTTTTTTGCTTTTTTGGGGTTACCTTTGTTTTCCAATTTGTTGCTGGGGTCCTAATTCCAGCCAAGTATTTACGTTGGGAGTTATGGCTGACTCCCTGGGGTTTGACTCCTTGGTGGCACGGGGGATCAAGCCGCGGGATTGGAACGTTGGAAGGTTTGCTGGTATTTACCTTGGGAGTGATATGGCTGTGGCTCAAAAAGCTGGTACCAAAATGGATCCCTGGTAAGTGGAAACAATGGCCAACACCTGCGTAACCTCCCCTGATTAATTTGAGCCAAACCCATATGACTCCCTGGGGTTTCTCTGAACGGCGCTGCGAAATGGATTTAATTTCCATTTCGCAAGCAGCCGCCGTATGTATAACATATGTTTGTTACATATAGGAATAGGTCTATGTACATGTAAATAAAAAAGTGAATGTACATATGCATGTTATGAGAGGCTTTGAACTTCTCTCAATGGATTTCGAAGCCCCCCTTTTGGTTGGTAGCTGAAAGGAAACCATCAGGTGATTCGCGGATCGCTTTGCGAACCACCCAAATGAGAGAAGCTTCAATCTGCGTAATTTCCCTCTAAGCACACACACACACATACACAATTCCACACACAACCAGCCGGCTTACCGAAGCTTCGCGTTCACGCATTCGAAAGTTGACCGTTCAACTCTTGGGTCCTTTGGGCAGCTTGGCTGAGCAAAACATGGGTTTGATTTGCTTAGGTGGCTCAGTAGTGCCCTTTTTCCCTTTTTTGGGGGAAGGTTCCCCTACTAAACTAGACTACAGAAAAAAGGGTACCCTTATTTTAACCTCTCTACTGGAGGACCTAGTTGCTCTGGGAGTTTACCAGAGGGGTGCGTTTTGCTTTCCTTTGAAACAACCCGGGAGATTCCAAGCCGGGTGGATCTTCTGCCGCGGCTCGCTAGACCTACGTAGGTCTTCCAGTAGTGCCCTTTTACCCTTTTATGAGGGGAGGGTTCCACTACAAAAATAGACTGCAGAAAAAAAGGGTACCCGCATTCTGACCCAGAGATGTTGCAGCCCCCTGGCTTGGTTTTGGCAGAGGGGCCCAAGCAGTGTTTGAGTGTCTGTGGTTCTTCTGGGGGTCATTTCCTCTAGGTTTGAAGCACTAGATGCCCGCAAGGAAACCAGCTTTGTTAGAGGCAGCTCCTCAGTTATGGCAAGCTTACCTACATGAAGCTTCCTTTGGGATTCCTCACTTCAGGCTGTGGCAGCCAAACGTGTTTCTTACTTTAGAGTAGGCCAAGCCTTGATTGCTATTGAGAAGGAGTTGTAGACTTCAACTTTTCGGTTGAAATGAAGTTGCGTTTTCCGTATTACCACCACGAAAAGTGATTCACGTTCTGAAAAGGGCTCTCTTCACCCCCCCAACCAAGAAACACGAGCCATACTTTGAGCACAAGAGAAGTAGAGCTGAGCGGCCGGGCGTGCGCGCCATTGCGCGCGCCATTGCGCGCGCAACTCGAGGCTTGTGCCGCCCGAGGAGATGTTCAAGCAGGGGGACTACGAGGGGAAGTGAGCCCTTGGTGCGGGCGCGTTGGGGTCCACAAGAAGGCTGGGTGAACCCCATTGATCAACACGGCTCGTTTTTTTTCCTTCCGGGGGGGCGGGTGTTTCCCAAAGCATTGATCCAGATTCAGGACCCCCTCTATTGATGAACCGGAAGTAATGTTGATCTATTAATGAACCAGAGAGTTGTATCCACCCCAAGACTTGGCATGTTGCTGGTGCAAGGGACAGGCTTGATCAGCAAAAGGGTCTCACGAAAAAAGGTCCATCAAAAGGAGGCTCCTCTGAAGGTGAACTTTTGCTGTTGCTTTCATCTGTCCACATACTCACGTTTCTAGCCTTGAGATGTTCCTGCTGCAGAAGGAACAACCATGGGCATCCTAGATGACAAGCAGGGGTTACGCAGGTTGACTTAATTTGCGAGAATCAGCGAGTCCGGCCCTGTGATGAAGGTCTCTTCGTATCTCCGGCTCTAGGGTCAGAAGTAGGGAGCGTTGATTCTCAGACATGGCCAGACACGTGCCAACTGCATTGTCACATAATGTTAACCCCACAATAATCAACCCCTGTTCATTAATAGGGGCGGGTACTTCTCCCTGGGTTTAGTGGGGAATCTGGAGGAGAACACCCCGCTATTAATTAACTGGGGTTGATTAATATGAGGTCAACATTACCTTGTCACATACATGCAGAAATGCCAAGCAGATGCGGCGGATCAACAGCTGCTTTGACAGCACATACCAGGTACTCCCGCTATGATGACCTGGGCCTGCCAACGCACGACAAGGCGGAAGCTGCGTCCAAGAGGGTGCTGTGCTTGTGGCAATTCAACATGACTCACTTGCCCCAAATGACCTTTGACGCTTTGGGTTTCCGGGTTTCTGTTTTTTTGGGGGGGGTCAAGGTTGCACAGGATCCCAAAATAGGATAGCAGCTGGGGGCAGTCAAAAACAAACGTTGCCGGCTGCTGAAGTTTGTTAAAAGGGGGGTGTTCCCCACCAAAAGTTATGATTCCCCACTAAACCCAGAGACACCCCCTATTAGTTAACCGGTGGGTTGTTTAGTTGGGGTGTTGCATAAGGCGCCAAGTGCTTAGGCCCTTCGGTCGCCAGTGAGGGAACCCATGAAGCCAGGTGCAAACGGATCAGTGAGGGCCATGCCCTCCGTGGCCTCGATTCAATTTGCCCGCAGTATCATGAAGGCAACTTACATTTATGAAGTAACAATGGGAGAGAGAGAGAGAGAGCGAGAGAGAGAGAGAGGGAAAAGTAAATACGTATATATATATATTATATATATATATGTATTTCTATATAGTCATTTAACTATTTGCAAATGGGATGCCTAGTCAATTGAGAATTTGGGTTGACACAAGGAGACCTCTTGGAAGGAGTTCCCCCCCCAACGAAAGGAAACTAAAGGAAGCCAAGCAGCTGTTCCCAATCAAAACTGGAACCTGCTTTCAAAGAGGTTCAAACAAACTGCCGGTTACCACCCCCAAGCGCACCTCCAGCTTTCTTTGGTCCCAAGTTCCATGTGAGCCACAATCAAAGCCCGGGTAGATGAACGTGAGTAAGGGATAATCCCAACCATAAATAGTTTTGGATATCCGCCTTCTTAATTCTTTACCGTGGCTCTGGGTAGACCATTTGGCTGTGGCTCAAAACAACGTACCCAAAATGGCCCCCAGGTAGGTGGAGGTACATGGACAAAGACCAACACCTGCGTAACCCTAGCTCTTACATTTTGAGCCACACCCATTTCGACACCGGGCTTTGATTATGACTCATGTGAGAACCAGCCCCAAGAGGCTTGCCGCTTTCGTCAGGAGGGCGCAGAGCTTGCGAAGAGTGCGATGAAGAAGCTGGCCGCTTGGGCTGCAGGGGGTGGAGACAGTTCCCCATGGCCCCTATTCATGGCAAGGCCCTTCGTGGGTTAGCTTTAAATAGGTAGGGATGGGCAACAACGGCAGTTGGGCGTGTCAAATGAAGTAGGGGTTTCCTTCTGGTTTCATTGGAAGAAGTCCTTCTGGTTTCCTTCTGGTTTCCTTCTGGTTTCCTTCTGGTTTCCTTCTGGTTCTGAACGGACGCCCCAAACAGGAAACGCTCAAAAAGCAGACGCCGGTGTTTAAAGAGCCAGACCATGGCCCCAACGAGAAGCGAGAGGAGGTGGTTATGTTCAGATGTGCAGAAGGTTCAGGTTCCATACGGGCAAGTGAGGTTTATTGTACCCCAGGGGGGCATTTCGGCGCAAACCGGACTTTGGGACCTGTGGTCCCCCGCAGGTGAAGCTTCGGGAAGCACAGGCACGTCCAAACCCGGATGTGGGAACCGGTGGCGTTTCCGGGAACCACTGTTTGGGGTCTCCAAAGCGATGTTTCAGGTAGCCCTTGTGGTGGTTTTGATTGGTTTGGATCTGGCCAGAAAACCAGGAACTTGTGGGGAAGGGTTTGGGAGGGAGCCTGGTTTTCGTACACTGCGATTGCGAACCTGTTTCACAGGAAGCAAGAAAAAAGCGCATGCAAACAATGGCAATGCTGACCGGATTGCAAATACACCACGGTTGATCGGCATGCACCCTCCAATCATGGAAGCTGACGATTGGAGAGCTTTGAAAGACAAAACGCTTTCCTTTTGGGGTTTGGCCCGTCCAGGTGGATTCTTCTTGGAAAGAAGCAGTTTTCATTCTGGACTGTGGGCCGAAGGCCCCCCCTCACTCCGGAAAGGTTCGGAAGGACCCTTTTTCAACAGGCCGCGGCTCTTCGTCTTGCTGGTTCGATAGGTCGGGATCCAACTGGTGGTTTCCTCATTCCCTCATTCGCTACTGAGCACCAGCAAGTAATTTAGAAGGCTCTGAAAACCTGCCTGAGGGATAGGAGACTCCAATGCCATGCGCCTCTGATGGACATTTTGAATGCCCCACGAAACAGTGGCGCAAACTAGAAAAGTGAGAGCAATTCAGCCGAATTCCCAATACCATTCCAACGCAAATCCAGCAAAATTCCAAAATGGACCTCCGACGGAACTCTCATGGAACTCCATGTTTTGTGCAACCTCCCGGTTCTGTTTCTATCCAGTTTGAGCACATGATGTGCACGAGTGAGATTTCACCAAACTTTGAGCACCCGTTTGCACGCTCATAGGAGGGCTCAACAGGCTGGACATCCAAATGAAGTCGTAGGAGCCGTTCAACCTGCCCAAGTTTCATCGCACAAGTCAGGAACTGAGGTCGGTTTCCACTGCGTGCAAACGTTTGTTGCTCGGCTTCCTTGTTAAGCGTGGTACGGGTTCGCAATAGAATTAGCAGGCAGCAGGCTTCCTGGAAGGACCGGTAGGTGCTTTGGACTGGTGGTTCGGTTTAGGCCCCTGGCACTGGAAACCATTCCAAACCACATTTCTTTTTCGTTTGCTGAGCAAACTGGCCGATCTCTTTGTGAGTGTGACTGTTTTTGAGGGTAACCCCATTTCTTGATGGGTTTAAAGGGAAACCAAAAGGAAAATCACCATTTTGGGGTCCCCCCCCTCCAATAAAACAAACAAACAACCTACCCCGGTGGTTTCCCTTCAAAAAAAAACGCCCGAAACGGGACCCGACCGCGGCCAAAGAAGAAACCACGGCGAGGTGAAGAAGTACAGCAAGGCGCTGGAGAAACGATCCTCCGAGGCGCCGCCGACGGCCCCAGATCGGCGCGGCGAAGCCGTGGCGACCGTGGCAACGCGTGGTTGCGTTGCCAAGCCGGGGGCTTTCTGGTGGAAACCAACAGGGGGGACAACAGGCAAAATCCACAGAAGGCGCATCCAAACCGTTTTTTCTAGGGGTTGATTCCGATTCCATTCTTTTCAAGCATAGTTCTTTTCAAAAACCAGCCGTTTTCCCTGGGTTTCTGGAGGTTTTCTAGAAAGAAGGATCCCTGGAAAGGATGGGAAAGGTATCCCCAGAGTTTTCTAGACCAACGGGTCCAAAATGGCCATGGGCTCATATATGGACCTAAATGATCAGCCTTTGATTGAGCTGTGCAAGTTTTGACCTCAAGCCTTGTTAAAGGGGCAGGATACGTCAGGTCAGTGGTTAGTAATTCTGGTTATCCACTTGCCATGGTTAGTCTCCGTTCAGTGGCTTAAGACCAAGCTTACTAATCACATACTAAGTACCCTGCCCCTTTAAGTGGTGGTTTGGAGCCTGGTGGTTTGGTGGTTAAGGGAAGGGCCCATCTACACTCTACAAGAACCAGGGGTTTCAATTCCAAATCACACCACCAATTAAGGGAAACCTGATTTGGGGTCTCCTCCAACACTATGTTTTTTGTAAGGGTTGGCTGGATGTGAGACAGAACCTGATATGATGTTCTGTTCCCAGATGTCGGCCAGCAGTGAATCATCGGAACCTGGTAACTTGAAAAAAAAGAGAAAACAACAAACTTACTGCAGCTTAGTGGATTTGGTTCCCAGGCCTTCCCCTGCTCGAAGGCCGGGCGCTGAATATTTAGTATTTTTGTGATTGAGTGGTAGTTTCTCCTGAACCACTAAAAGTTGACTTTTTCGCAGTGGTCTGAGGACAGGCCAATTTTGGCAACTTTTTTTCCATTGACACGCTCAATGGACGTTTCCAAAGACAGATTTCAACGTGTCCAATTCTCCAAAAGAGATACCTGATGTTTAGCTTTCCAAACCTCTTTCAGCCAAGAAGCAAAGAGTATCACGAACAAGCAGACATTGCATGTCGCCTGCATAAGGTGTCATTGATGTTGTGCCTTGCGGCTGTGAACACGGTTGCGGTTGGCAAGTATGTCTGCAACCGAATTTTCTCTCACAAACCAGGCTTCCTTTCGGCTCAGATGGGCGGCGCCAAGAACCCTTATGAAAGGAGTTCATTGAGGGCCTCCCCGAACGCACCCCATGATACGCACTGTTTAGATTGACCAACTACCGGGAACTGGAGGAGGCTCGGGCCTTCAACAACTAGCTGGGGGAGCGCAGGCAGGCCCAGGAGGGGCAGCGACACCCACCTGGCTTCGGAGAGGCCAACCACAAGGCACCCCACCCCCCACGCCCGGACGCCTCCAGCTTCCCGCGTTGCTCGCTTTACTCGCCGCTTCCGCTGCTTGCCAAGGGAAGCCCCGAAGAAGGCGGGCGGGTGGGCTCTGGAAAGTTGGCGGGCACCAAACAGGGTCACCAACACTTACTAGGTCCAGGCTACGAGCTGATGGTGCTTCTGGCGTGTTTGGGATCTCTTCACTAGGTCCCCCTTGAAAACGAGGGGGGGGAGGCAGCCCTGAAAGGGATAACTTGGAAACCGACACATACCATCACCTAGGTCCCCCCAGGATCGTGCCAACTTTTACCAACTTTTTTGGGTGTTTTGGGTTCCCCCTACGAAACTAGACTACATAAAAAAAAGTTGGTACCAACTTGTTCTAACCTCTCAAATCTGGAGGACCTAGCTTATTTTTCTGGGATACGATCTCATGATGGTCCTTAAAGATTCGCTTTGTCTAGCTTTGGATTCTTGAGAGACCTACTGTGGATGGACAAAATCTTCTTAGGCACCACCTAAGACACCCTAAAATGATGATCCTCCTGTAGATATTCACAAATTCTGGTTCCCCATGGTTTCGAAGTGGTGCAGGATTTCGTCCATCCACAGTATTTGCTTGGATCTTTTGACTTCGTCGCCTCTCGTAGACAAGTCACTCTGGATTCTCCCGTCCGCTCAACTCAACATCATTCAATCCCAGTTTATTAAATAGGGGTTGGGTGTTTCCCTCCAACGGTTTTTGATTCCCTTCTACACCCAGGCACCCCTCATGAATCAACAGGGTTTGATTAGTACGTGATCAACGTTCTGTCTTCACTTCTTGCGTGTTTGAGATCTCTTTGTAGGACCCACAGGCATTTTAACACAGGACGGGATGACAGGAATCATGAGTGATTAATATGGGGTCAACATTAGTGAATCGAGACTGTGGGACTCTGTAGTTCATGCTTGGTCAAGATGCGAGGACAGCAGAATCGTGCACTCCTGCAAGGAAGGGATAGAGAGTGAGGAAGACTGATCCACTATTCTTATCACATCCCAAAACATTTCAGAAAGGAACGGAATAGACATGAGAGCGAAGCCGATTGTATTCATTCATAAGCTTACTGCATCATTGATCATCCGCATTCAATGTCCTTGGATAAGCCAGAAGCTTCTACCTGAGAATGGTGGGTTGTGCAAATATGACTCTGCAGTTGGAACTGGCTTGCCATGCGGATTGTCAAAAGTCCCTACAAGTTGGGGCTTGCTCCTTGTTGCCAAAAGAGGCCCTCCTTTTTGGAACGCCCCAATGTAGGCAGGAAGCCGCAGGCCCTCCAAATGTGCGTGATGCCTAGAAAGAGTAGAAAGCATTTCCTTGCAGAGAGATCTCCGTTGTTGTTTTTGTTTGTTTTGTTTTTTGTGTTTTTTTTTTGGGGGGGGGCTTTGCAAGGGTTCCATGTCAACTTGCAAGGAAATATGGCTTGGTGGCTTCTGTCCAGGCTCCAATGTTTGGTTCCTGTGCGGGGTTGCGCATTTCGCCCATGGGGAAGAAAAAACAATGGAACAACAGAGACGATGTTGCCCTCTTGGGTTTGCTTGGAGAAATGGGGCGCTTCGGCGACTACGTCCCGCCCACCCACCAAAAGAAATGTTAACAACAACCCCAAAAGGTTCTGATCCAAGGGATTGAATCTTTCTGGTGGGTGGCCTTCCTTTGGCGTGTAATGCTTCTTTGGTGCCAGGTGCCCTTTTCTCACCTTGAGAAGGAAACCAAAGGAGGCGCCCCAATTTTGTCGCCCCCTTTTTTGCCCCCCACCCCCCACCCCACCCACCCCCCAACCTCCACCCCCCCCCCCCACCACCCCACCATTTCAACGTTTGGCCCATGGCGTTCCTTCCGTTTCCCGAGGCCGAGGCCGCCGACGCTTCGGCGCGTGAGGAGGCTGGGGGAGCGGCGCCCGCTCGCCGTGGGCACGGGAGGAAGGAACGGCCCCCGTTGATTCAACGCAAGTCACAAGGCAATCATTCGGAAAACAGGAAGCTCACTATGTCCAACATGCTGTTCGTTGGTTTTTTTTGGCTTCTGTGCAAACGAATCGATCGGTTCGGGTGTGTGTGTGTGTGACAAAACATCTGGGCAATTCAGGATGTTATCAGACGAGCTCACCGCTCGGGACTCCACCAGGCACCAGCGTTTTGTCAGTCGGGTTAGCCTGCCGGAGGCAAGTAGTGTTTCTCTTCGTCTTTGGCCATTTCCCCTTGCAGTATCATGTTGGTCAACGTTTGCTACCATCTTTCATCTTTGCCGTCCAATCCGAGGAACAAGGACATTTATTATATTCATCCTGGGTTTAGGGTTGAACGTTGACCAAGCCATGTTCGCAAAGGCGTTGTCCTTTGAATCAAGAGCACGTTTCGCTTTTGCCAGCTAATGCTAATCCGGAAAAATGGGGAACAGCCCCTGATTTACCCTCAAGTTAACATTATTCAACTCATCATACTGGAGAGTCCGCAAGAAAAATGGCCTTGAGGTTGCGCGTCTCCGTTCCCAGGTCCTGCCAGAAGGCGCTCGCCTGCCGACCGTTGTGTCCGGAACCTTCGGAGGCGGGAATCCGGCCACTGACCTCTCTTGCGCCCCTCTCCCCACTTGGGGCAGGTCCCGTGCTTGGGTCGCATGAGTTGGATGGACGCCTGGACTCATTGGAGGCTTCCCCCGCCCGTGCCGCCCTCAAGTCCTGGAAGCTGACCTGGGCCTTGCAAGCTGACGGCAAGCTGACGGCTCGTTCCAACGGCCCCAGGATCTCAGCCCAAGGCCAAAAGCCAAAAGCCAAGGCCGCGAAGTCCGGTGCGTTTTTGGCAAAGCCATTTCGGACCTGCGGCTGGGGAAGATCAGGAACCGGTACAGCCGCTCATCTACATATGGGGGTTGATCAAAAGGTCCTTGCAAGGAGTTATGTATTCGGTGACCATTCGTCTTGGCTTAAATCCCTCCGCGAAAGATCGGCGATGGAGTTCGCGAAAGAAACTTATTTTTTCGCAAAAGATTCCGCGTTGAATTCTTGGAGCCCTGCCTGTGCACTTACATATTTGCAGACCCCGCTCCCTTGTAGAGAGGGAGATACGCAGCACCTACACTTGCATTATTGATTCCCTGCCTGTGTTGGGATTGGTGCAAATCAAAAACGTTGGCTGGGCTATTTTGGAGCAAGTTTCGCGAAAGATCCGCGAAAGACTGGCGAAAGGCCAGGGGGCTTGTTGCAAGGTTCCGCACATCGCCGGCAACCGCAAGTGGCAAGGGCGAATGACGGTGACTGCCTGCACTTGACACTACGTACTGCACGCAAGTGAACTGCGGCCACCGTGTTTGCAAGCACAACTGCAGCAGCCACAATGGCTCCAGAGCGCACGCTGCAACAAAAGGGCGTGGCGATGGAGTCGCGAAAGATTCGCGAAAGAAACTTTTTTTCTCGTGAAGATGGCGTTTTCCGGAAACAGGAATATTGATCAACTGCCATATGGGCGTCGTGCTAAAAAACATGTATTCAGTTTAGTATTCCGAATTTCCAGGCTTACGTGGCACGAGCTTCCCGCTGTGTGCGCGGAAGAGACGCGCAAGGGCGGCGGAAGAGATGCGGAAGGGCCAGTAACTGAAAACATTTTTTGAAAAGCAGTGACAACTAGTGTGTAGATTTACAATGGGCGCGGCAGTGCGCGGGAGGAAGGTTTTGCACCACCCCCATATATCACCTTGTCCACCAGGCCAAAAGGAAGTCATTGTTTCAGAAGGTGTTGTTTTTGTTTTGATCTGTTGTCTTCTCTTAAAATGAAAAACAAACAACATATACACCTTTTTTGTTGTTGGGGGGGTTCAGGTTTAGGAGAAAGTTCCCTGTTTCCACTCCCCCCCCGCTCCCACCGAAATCGGGCGGTTTGGAAATCCCGTTTCGAGGCCGCCAGGGTGCTGGCCTTGGATTTTTCCTGAAGGTGAACGGGTTGAAGGGAAAGCCAACTGCGGGGGGGTTGGTCCTGGATTCTACCCCAACAACCACTGCCCTGAATTTGCATTGAATTTTAGGGTAGACCTTGCATTTACATTGATTTCTGGGTCCCCTCCGGAACCTGTCTTGGTTGATTTTAGGGTAGGTTCTTCGAAGAATCCATGTTTTAGGACCTGTTGAAGTTTGCAAGAGAAAGTGTGTGTATGTTTAGGTTGCTTTTCAACAGAAGGCAAACAATCACTTGTTTGGTTGTTTGGGGGGGAAGTACATGTACTTTGCTATTAGCCTATGTTGATTGGCTCAGAATTGAAGCTCCCCTCGATTAGGCTGAGTATGAAGAGAATGTTTGTGTGATGTGGGCCAAGACACGGGAACGCGAAAAGCACACCTGCTTCTTGGAGGGAGGGGGAGAGCCGATTTAAGGAAGAACACGGATTTGTCCCCTTCTTGGATTCACACAGGTTTCAGGCGATGGGGGCTTGTAGCAGAGGTGCCTGAGATGGCGGTACAGCTCAATTCTCAGTTTCGCGGCTTCTGGGAACGGCCACGGCCCAGCAACGTTTCGCAGGGTTGATGCTCAAACAACAAGGGGTAGAAGAGGGTTATTGGTTGTAAAGTTCCAGGTTATGAGTTGTTTACCTTATTCCGAAGCAGGAATAGTGCCTGATATATTCATATCACCTCATAGCGTCCCTTCAAGATGAACTTTTGGTCATACTCTTGGGCTAGTTTCCGCTGGTTTCGTTTCTCCGCTTGTGCCGACCAGGTTCTTGGAGCAACTCTCAATGCTCCCCGCCCCCCCTTCCCTTCCCGTCTCTTTCCGTCTCCCCTCCCCTCCCCGTCTCCCCCTCCCCCTCCCCCTCCCCTTCCCTCCCCCTCCTCCTGCTCCCCCCCTCCTTCACCCACCAGACGCACTCACCGCAACTCCGTGATCTCGCCCTCAAGCTCCGCAGCCAAAAGCCGCCGTCGTCCATTTCCCCAAACGCGCTTCACGCGCGACGCTTCCGAGGCTTTGAGCTGACCTCCGCGGGACCTTTGACCCATGCCTTCGTCTTCTGAGGCAAAAAAGCGGCGAACCGTGCCCCGCGGTTGAGCTGCGTGGGCTATGTGGCTGTGTGGCTATACTCTTTGCTTGGGTGCCAGTCACGCCGTTGCGTGGGCTATGTGGGCTATGTGGCCATGTGGCTATCCTCTTTGCTTGGCCCCCAGCCGTACACCAAGTGTTTTTGTTTTTACTCCTAGTTCCTAGTGATTGAGGCATGCTTGGTCCTAAGACTTCTAGTGCGTTGTGACTAAAGGTTTATGGCAAGCAACAAGGGATGACTGCACCACTACCTGCGGCTGGCTTCCCCAACGGACGCCTCCCAGGTGAGAGCAGCCGTTTGACATCGGCTGGGCTCAAAGGCCAATGTGCCGCGCATCCCGGGCAGAGCGCATGCCCTCCCCCGTCTCATATGGATATGGCGGTGTATTTGCCAGTGATCGTTCATGAACATGTTTGGTGCACATGCTAGACAGAAAGCCACACCCACACACACACACACATATATATATATATATATATATACATGTACAAATGTGTGAAATTTGTGAATGATGTCCACGTTCTATATAAGACGCCGCTCTGATTTCAGCACTTCGACCGCGCCATGCCGAACGTCCGTGCAGTCGGCGCTGGTGCCATCGGGGTCGGCCTCCTTTTGATTCGGATCACGGAATTGTATATGGGCCTCAACAAGCTCCCGGGAACTGGTAAGCCATTCCGGATGCATCAGGAAGAATACACCTTTGGCTTTCAGTCCGTTTGACTCCAAGCCGTTTGACTGACATGTGTTTGGGACATGCAGGTGCCAAGATCGATGAGCTTCCCCTTCTCAATGCGTCCCGCGCTCGGCCGGCGGTTTGTCTGGATCCATTCCGTCAGGTTCCGAGGCAGGATTCCTCAAATTTTCTCCGCAAACACCCAGGTCCTTGCAGAGGGAAAACACCATCTTCCAGTTGCTTAATATGTTGTATTTTTTTCTCGGCGGTTTTAAAGAGAATCAATCTATCACTACTGGAAACGTATTTTTGCCAGGTGGCTTGAGCAAATGAACGCCATTGTTTCAAGAGCGTCCATGTTCCGTTTCCGCGGGCAAGAACTCATATATTCTGTTTCGTTCGCTGCTGCGTGTGGGAAACAGGCAGGGGTTGCTGCGAGCCCCGAAAGGATGATCAAATCGCAAGCTGGGGATGAAAATTGGCCGCGTTTCCGGCTGTAAAAGATGCCCACGTCAAGAACTTTGGCTTGGCTTCCGCCTCCGAAAGCAAGGAGCAATCCACGAGCTGGGGGTAGAAGCTTGCTACAGCTTCCTTTGGTTTCTTGGTGGAGCCTTTAGCTTCTTAGTCTTTAGTGGGGTTTTCCATTTCGCCCACTCAAAGTTAAGCTTTTTGCGGGGGTTCTGAGGGCAGCCGATGTTTTTCCCTTGGGTGTCCCCATCGGAGCAACGAGGGTTTCGCCCAGGCCCGAGGTGAAGACTGAGGAGATCCCGGAGGTGGAAGGGTTCCAGACACCGCCGGGATGCCTAGGTGTGGGCCCGTTGGGGGGCTCATTTTAAGGTGCAGCATAAAATGTGGTTCATGAACTTTAAACTTTTGGGGATGGCCAATTGTGTGGTCAATATAAAGTTTGGACTTTGGTTGGGCCATCCACTCAGCCAATGAGCATTGGCCGTGGCCGGCTGCATTTGTCCGCTCCGACTTTTTTCTGGCAACTCGAGGTGTCTTTGTTTTGGTTAAACAATAGGTGGCACTGGTTCAGATTCGCTTCCAGGTGACAGCAGAACCAGCCACTCGCGATGGGAGCTGAGGCCCAGCAGTTGTGGAAGCAGCCGGGTGCCCGGATTGATTTGCACTTTGGGTTGTTCAACGCCGGGTGCCAGCACAGGGGTCCTTATTTTGGAGCTATTTCAGAAGCCTGAATGGTTTCCCCTCAACCTGCCACTTGGCGGGGGTGCCTTCGGTAGAGTTAGTAGTGGGGCCATTTTTCAGGGATTAGGATTCTCAATGCCGCCTGATCCACCCGGCTTGCTATGGCGACCACGGCGGGAAATTTAAAACGAGATCACTTATGATTAGAGGTTGATTCCTTTTCCATTCTTTTCAACCATCGTTCTTTTCAAAAGCCAGCTATTTTCCCTGGGTGTCCGGAGGTTTTCTAGAAAGAAGGATCCCTGGAAAGAATGGGGAAGGTACCCCTAGAATGATGAAGGTCCCTCAGGGCATCTTAGGGCCTCCTGCTTTCAGGTCGGTAAAGCAACATGATTGGCAAGCATATGCTTGCTCAGGATTTGCGAGCGGGTAAAAATCTGGGTGGACCTCTCGAAATGGTGTCGGGGGGAACCGGCCGCATCTGACATTTTGTTTTCCTGTGTCAGCCCATGTCAGGGCTCCAAACGCATACCCTGTTGTGTAGAAACCTTGTGACTGGTAGGGGTTCCGTGTATTCTGGTGAGGGGAACAAAAGCAGGACGCGTGAAGGTTCCTTTCTTGTGTTTTTTTTTTGCCTGTGAGTTGGTATAATTTGCCAAGTATTTCTTTCAAAACGGAAGAGGGGCAAGCCAATAGAACCGGGCCAAATGTGGAAGGAGAGAGAGGCCCGCCCCATTTATTTTCCGCTGGGCTGGGCTCCTTTTGATTCAATACCAAAGTTCGTCGGTTCCGTCCCGTGAGCCCGTGAGCCCGTGAGCCCGTGAGCCGCGACAGAGCCGCTTAGTGCTCAGATCAGTCGTCCCGACTACACATCTCGATTGAGCGACGCCCCGTCGCTGCGCAGGAGGCGGGAGAATCAAACCAGGTCCATAGATATATCCCAGGGTTCCCTAGTGTTGTCGTTTCAAGCATTACTTTTGGGCGGCAAGTTTTTAGCCTTCTGGTGGACTGCTTCTTGACCCCATGAATGTGTTTACGTACGTATATGCATACATACGTACAGGCATACATACATGATACTCACTTTTGGAGTTCCTGGACTATTGGGAAAAATATGGTTGTGGTAAATAAACAGTCTGGACCAATCCACTCGGGAAGTGAGGATAGGAGAGGTGATACTGTGGATGGACAAGATTCATTTCGCACCACCCAACACAGCGTGGGAAACCGTTGTTTGTTGGTATTTACAGGGGATCATATAATTCTATTGTTTCTGAACGGTGCCTAAGAGGATTTCGCAACCATCCACAGTATGTCATAGTATTTCCCTCTGGCAGTTTAGACACAACTATTTGGGTCGCTTTGAGCTGAGCTTCTCTTTGAGGGGGTGTTACCATCCTCGAGGAAGTGAGGTTCTGTCAAACACGTCAAGTGATATGGAGCCATCCTTGCCTCACCCGACAAGGATGGCCTACTTTTGGAACGTGCTGCGGGAGGAGATCAACGGCACCTTGGAGGACTTCCGCGAGAAGGGCGCCTGGGGCGCCTTCAAGGACGCCAGCTTGGATGCCGTGGACCTCATCCAGGACGCAGGAAGCCTGGGGGGGAAAAGCATGGGGTCGGATTGGTGGGGGTGGGTGGGTGTTGAGTGTCTCTTGTTTTCTGTGTGTTTGTTGGCGTGCTTTTGTGGAGCTGTTTCTTTTTGGTGCTTGCTTGGAGTTTGTGTGTTGGTGCTTGGTTTTGGGCCGGGTTCCTTGTCCTCCCCTTCCCCCCAGCATGGCGATCTTGGGTTGCTGGCTTCGTGGCTTCGGGGCTTTGGGAGCCTGGTGTGTTTTAGGTCCAGCGTTCCGAGTCGGTTGCGCCCTCTTCCGAGGCCTGGGTTGAGCCAAGCCCAACAAAAGTGCCCTCGAGAAAGACGATGCCTCTATCTCACTTCCTGAGTTCCTGGGCTTGAGTCACAAATTTGGGGTTTGGACCCTTTCGTGGCAGACATTAAAACGTGGGGATTGTCCAGGGCGCAAACCCACGCAAATGACCATTTCGGTGGCAAACTGGAAGTCTGGACTCTTTTTGGCCAGTCCACTCGATCGGAAGCGAGTAGGTTTGGATATGGATTGTATGGATTTGAACCCATGGTTCTTGGTTGATGGCCCCGCGCCCCCGCAAAGACTCCGCCGAAACGCTCGCGGCGAATCGAAGCAAAATCCTTCCGAGGCGGCGCCCTGGTGGACAGCACCGCGCAGCTGCTGGCGCTGGAGCGGCCCACCCTGCGGCGCCCGCCCGGGCTGCCGCTGCCGCAGCACGGGGATGAGGCGTCTTGGTTTTGCATAGGGACCCATTACAAGGCTAGGCCCCCCAGTAGTGCACTTTCTTCTTGTTTTTTGGGGGGGGAGGGTTCCCCTACTAAAATAGACAGACAAAAATTGGTAGCCTTATTCTCACCTCTCTATACTGGAGGACCTAGTAGGGGTTTGCTCTAGGGATGAGCAAACATTGTTCTTATATCAGGTGGGTCCGACTCTCCGGATGCAAGTTTGTCAATTTTGAATTATCACTCGTTCTTCAGGGCTCTCATGGGGAAAGACAGCAGCAGAGCGGAGCTGTGGGGCGGACCACAGGGGTCACTGAAAAACAGCGGGTTGCCGGAGGATGAGGAGTCCTCATGTGCTGACATGTCCGGAGTTCCTGACTTTAGTGACTTTTTGGGAGGTTTTGGGCCATTTTTTTTGGTTTGGGTACCTTTTTTTCCGATCCATGCAGGAAGGGAGGGATGCCGCCTTCAATGAAACCGAAGGGATGGCTTCCGGGGTCTCCAAAATTATGAGATTGGTTAGTATGAAACATACTTAGTCACAAAATATGTGCCCCAGCACGGGTTTGTACTACAACCGAAGGATGCCTTAGAGGAAACCACGTATACAGGATGGTGTCTGGGGTGTTTTTCGTTTAGGGTAGACCCAATATGAAGCATAGTCGGAAAATATGATTTGCTGAGTCTGAGTGCCCCCGATGTGGGTCAACCCCTTGATTTGTGCTTCCCTCCTTGCCAGAAGGGTGATGGTTTAAGCGCACTTGTTTCACCGAACCCTGAAATGGCTTGCATTGGTGGGATTGGAACCACTGGCTCCTGTAGAGCCTCGATGGGAAACCACCAATGGAACTCCAAACCACCAAGAGGTAAGCTGATGCTTGGGTGTTGCGACCCTTCCTGGAGATTCGGGTCAGACTGGCGCGGGCCTTCTTGCACATGAGCACTCACTTTTCGGCGTAAGCCTCGATCCCTGTTTTGGTCTTTTTTGGGTCTGACTTGCCGTCCATGGCTTCCCGTGTTACAATGTTATATCTTTTGAAGGTAGGAGGAGGATGTATTTCACGCGGTGCTCATTTGTCAGCTGTGAGTGAAGCTTAGCATGGCGCTTGAGCAGAGGATTCCTCGCAAGGATGCCATGAGCCAATTTTAGGCGTGGGACATGGTCTTCCATTTGCTGAATTGAGATGAACTGAGTATTTAAAGTGTCCCTGTCAGTGTTTAAGAGAACCTGTCACTGGTCATATTCTCAAGTTTTCCAGTGGACTTAAGCACAAGGCCCAGCTTCTGATCCAGTGGGACGCCAACTTTGATATCACAGATTGCGGTTTGGGGGACCTCCCCTTTTCGACATTGTCCGTTCGCAGGGTCCTGTCAGCTTTTCATGGCAGGTGCAAAGGTAATTCTTGCAAGCACGGAACGTGGGCTGTCATGTTGGCTTTTGTTTCTTGGGGAGAACCGGGCCAGTGCAGAAGGGAAACAACAACCACTGACTAGCATGCTCCCAAGGATCAATTCTCGGATACCATGGGTTTAATGTGCCTTTTGGAGCGCCCCAAAATTGGGTTGCTGGAGCTCCTGGAAGGATGAATTTGAAGTTGACATTCGCTGAGCCGTTGGATTTGAGGCCTAAAGTGGTTCAAAACCACCGAGCTGCGACCGGGCCAGGTGCCCATCTCATTGTCCAACGGCTGCTCGGATGCTTTGCTCAGAACGTCAGCTGGAACACGACGGCGTTGCCAGCTGTCGGTCTCGCCTGTCGCGAATTTCCGGGGAGCTTTGATCGGGAGCCCACTGATCCGATTTGCCAATATAGCCTGTATGAGTATGTCTTAAGATGTGGGAACCCACAAGTTGCGTGGTTTCCTTCAAGTTCCCTTTAAAACAACTCTAAAAAGGGCAAGCGCACATGCATACATACAAAGCCACCTATGTTTATATTTATATAACATGCATATATGCAAATACATGTATCTATATAAATATATACACACTTATATCGCCGCCCGTTAATGAATGGGTACCCTACCGACCCAACCGGGATCTGTGGGGGGACCTAGCGACCCCGAGGCCAGCCCTGCGTGATGGGCAAGGTCCATGGCGTGGACAGCATCTCAGACCCGCCCAGGGCACGGGTCATGCGCCGCCTGGCAGACCAGACCCGACCGGACCGCTCGAGACGTGCCCTACTCACCTCCCGAGTTTTTGGGCCAATCCACTCGGGAAGCCAGCCTTAGCAGCTTGGGCCTGAAGAAGGCACTTTTTGAGGCCTAAGACCTTTTGCTTAATAGGTCCAATTGGTGGGCGGTTGCGAGCTCGCAGATCGGGTGGGCAGATTTGGGAGGGGGGGGGTTGAATGAGCTCGCCCCATGAAGATCCTGTAAAGGATCCCTTCATCAAGGTTTGGGAAGAGATGGGGCAGCTACCCCTTGAGATATGTTTGTTTAAAAGCAACGAATTCTGCCCCACTCCACCCCCCACCCCAGTTTATGCTTGGGCAAGTGTCCAGGCGCACAGTTCGTACTCTCGGAGTATCTTCGTGATTTCAGAATTGGGCTTCTGCCTGATCAAGGTTCCAATGGGGTGAAACTTTTTTTGCGGGTCCTTTGGGAGGGGTCACTGGATTTCCTCTTCAGAAGCTGCAAATGTATTGGTGACCATTGAGGCTGCACTTTTTCAAGGAGGGAAATGGATGGAATCCTGTTTGGCCAAGTGAAATGTCCTTTTTCCTTTGGAAGCAAAGGAGGGCCAAGTTCAAGCTCCCGGGAGCTTGTGCCAAATCAATACCAGAATCAGTTCAACACCGACCTGGTATTCTTGTGCTGTTTCATGTTTGGAGCCATGGCCCCTAAAAGGTCGACCTTTTCTATATGGATCGTTTGGGCAGTTGTATTTTTCCACACGAGTTCCTGGTAAGCTGTGTTAGTTGAGAGGGCTGGACAGGGCTTGGAAAGCAAGACTCAAGACCCTCCATTATTGGATGTTACAAGGTGACCTGCGCGTCTGCGATTTTGGGATGTTTCCAGGTTGTTTTGGGAGCCCAAATAAGGCCTATGAGGGCTTAATAAGGGCTTTTCTGGGCTCCCTCCCCTCCCCCTCCCATCCATGAACTGATGGTGGCAGATATTTCTCAAGGGTCACGTAGGTGTGTCTTAGAATAAATAGGCCCCCCAACAAAGTATGTAGAAAATGGCTGGTCCCCAACAACATGGGGACCCCCTCAACCAAAAAGAAGCGCCCCTGTGCTTCTCAGAAGCCGCGCGGCCACGTTTTACTTGTTTTTTCTCACTTGAGGAATGGACACCGGGGAGGAGCTGCTGGTGGACATCCTGAGCGTGGACGACACGCCGAAGAAGCCTTTGCCCTGGGTCATGGACGAGTTCGGCCGCGCCGTTGGGGAAGTCCGCGAGAAAGGCGCGGACGGCGTGACTGCTATTGGGCAATGGATCTTTAGACTGAACAACTTGTTGGTTGAAATCAAGTTGGGTTTTCCACTAAACAATCGAAAAGGTGTTCACTTTTTGCAGGGGGGCTTGGGTTGGACGGAGAAGGTGTAACCCGGATTCAAGACTTACAGTCAAACAGCGACGACTGGGGATCGTGAAGTGTCAGGTTCTAGACAGGATGGGATAATTTTGTGCCTTGGGGCTTTCTGCCGACATCCGGCAGCACCAGTTTTAAGTTTCCGTGGGCATGTTGTGTTTGGCTTGTGCCACTTGGGGTACGGAAAGGAGTACCGCCCGGCCCGGGTTGTGCAGGACCCAGTTGGAACACACGAGCTGGTTTCACTTATCATGTTGATTCGCTTTCAAAATGCCTGGTTTCAGGAAACGCTGTTTGCCACTTACCGTGAGAGATGACAAAGGGACCCCCTTCAAACTGACAAAGGAGGTATAGGCTATAGGGATGGTGGCATCTATCATTTTCCAAAATTTAGACACGCCACATTGCCCTTACCATGGTTTTGGTCCTTTTCAAACCTTTCTACCTCAAGCAAAGACAAATTCTACCTGAGGGTAACCCCACTAACATATTTTGGGCACTTCCAAAACGGGCGGTTCTCCTCTCGCCTTTTCTCGAAGGGCCGAGCCACTCTATATCTCTCTCTCTCTCTCTCTCTCTCTCTCTCTCTCTCCCTCCCTCTTGTGTTTGAAGGTTTTTGTTTCCAAAGGCAAGACATTTATATAGTTGTGTGTTTAGTTTGCAGGGAACGGCGCGTAACGTTTCACTTGAAACTGGCCATGGGGGTTTAAGCAGAGGGAAAACCATCCAACTTTGCCCGCCAGCCGCCTTTTTTTCTGACTCTCGGAGGTGCCGGGGTGCTCAAGGATGGAGTCCTCGACACGGTGGACATCGTCAAGGCAGCGTTTTTTTGCCCTGCAGTTGCGGTGGTAGAGGATGTGTGCAAAGTCCGGTTGGCTCATTCGGAGGGTTTATAGGGAATCAACGGGCACAATGGCAGTGAACCGTTTGGGGTTTGCCTCTTGGAAGGATGGGTCGGTGGATCATTCCCTCTAAAAGTTGGCATGCCGCGGCCAAAAAAAAGGAAACAGAGGAAACACACACTTAGACTCTGCTCAGGCTGGTGTAAATGGAAGAAAAAAGCAAATCCCTGTTTCTACCTGAGACATCTATCAGTTATCTAGTGACCGATTAGGTATACCACCCTAGTGTTTCAGCGGGTTTGTTTGGAAAACCAGTCTTTCTTTGATCCAACTCCTCCATTTGCTGAAATGAATATGTTCCTTTTTTCCCCAAAAGCTGGTTTTAAGAGGAATCGATTCACTACTGGACATATGTTCTCCTCTTTTCCATTTGGGCCGAAAAACCAAATGGGGCGGTACATCCTCGGCATTTGGCCCTGGCGCAGCTCAGCTCGCTCAGGAGGGCGCCGTGGTGGCCTTCAACGGCGCCCAGCACCTGGGACGCAAGGCGCGGAAAGTCGACGGAAAAACGCGGCCGGGGCGGGTGGTTTGTTTTGGTGGCGATGGAGCGGAAACGAAACCGCGGGCCGGACGGTCAGGGGGAGGCGTTTTATGGCGTTTTTTGTTGTTGTTTTTTCACCGGGAGTGGCGTTCTTGCCAGTTTTTGTTTTGTTTTTTGCTCACCTGAGTTTGACTGGAAGTCCCTCATTCCTTGCTAGCCATCCGGTTAGTTAGTGTCTTGGCCTTTAGTGTTTAGTGGTAGTTAAACTTTTAGCGAGGGATCTGAGGGCAGCCCAGATTTGTTGGGTTTTGAGAATTTTCGTGGCAAAAGAAGAGAGGTTGGGTACTTTTTTTGGCCGAGCCACTCGATCGGAAGTGAGTAGGAGATACTGGCAGGAGATAGGACCTAGACTAGGGCATAGGAGACGGCCGAGGATTACATAGGACATACAACATGTTATGGGATAGGAAAGTGCCAGAATACTGCCAAGCCGAGACGCCTTGTTTTCCTTGTTTTTTTGGCAGGGGTACCCTTGAATCACTTGAATGCCAAACACAGGCGCCGCTTTGTCCATGGCGCCTGCATGAAAGAGTGCAACAATTCGTGGTGGAAAATATTGTAGCCCCTTGACCCAGGAAAAAGACACATTTTAGGCCCTTGGCCAGGAACATGAAGAAACATAGGGAGCATTTGCCAATTAATGGACGGAACCTGACCAATTGAGGGGGTCCTGGTTTGGACAATTTGTCCTTTTCAAGGGACCGGGTCCCTGTCACGTTCC